GCCTAATGGGGCCAGCGGTTCCGGAAATGGCAGCCGTGTTAAGTGGGGTCTACGAACTCCGAAGAAGCAGCAGCAGAAGCGGGAAGAGCAGCAGGAGCAGAGGCAGCACTGGCAGCAGCTGCCATCCCATTTTAACCCTAGCCAGACACAAGCATTAACGCCCTTCCAGAGATACAACTCGCTCTCGGGTTAGCTAGTTATTTAAGCAAATGTTTGAGCTGCTGCCATATCAGTTGCTATCAATGTGTGTGTGTGTGTGTGTGTGTATGTGTGGCCTTAGGACGATTAAATGGATTTGATTTTGGGGCTAGCAAAGGCTCTGATTCCAGTTTGTTTATGTATGCTAATATAGGCTGCATATTTGTGGCTGAGCTTGTTTTAGGATTATGAAATTCGAATTGGAAATTGCGCCTGGAGCCGACTAGAGCAGCCTAGTTGTTGGCTAATCGAGCATAAGTTAAGCCAAAGATATAATGTGTTTGCTTGAGCATATGCTGAGCTGAATTCAGACAAATGAACATTATTCAAGCAGGTTCAACTAGGAAATAAATTCTATTATTTGAAGATGATGTTCAAAGCAAATGTTCAAGAAAGCAATTTCTAATTTTTGTTTCTCAGGAGATGAGTGCAGGGCAAAGGGTAGAATTGAGGGAATCACAGGGTGTCTTTAATCAGGCTTCATATTATTTTTAAACTTTTTCAGTAAATAAAAAGTAGACAACATGGCTTAGGCAATCTGAAAAGTGCTTGGACTCCTGATTAAAATGATAACATTAATGCATCAGTATCTTTAAATAAATAAATATGTATGCATTTATTAATTAAGAAATTTGCAGAAAAATATTGTATATATTTCATAGACACTAACAAAACATTGCACATTCCCATTTAATGCAATTTAAAATGGAATTGCATTTTATTTGCAGAACTTCATTAGCAAAAACTGTTCAGCAAATTCATTACGACTCTGCCAATGACTATCAAAATGTAGGGCACTACAAATGGCTGCAGTCGACCAAAAGTTGACTGTCGCACACACTCATGAACTCCAACAGATACACACAAACACACACACGCGCGCAAACACACGAAATGCACACCTACGAGCACTCGAAATGTCTTCTCGAGTGCGGAAATATTTAAAGTGTCACACACGCTGTTCGGAAATTAAATGTGAGCATTGCTTCTGCTCAGCCAGTAAAAGTGGCCCCGGGTATGAGATCGGGCTGAACGGGAAACGGAAAACAGACGTCCCATTACACTGTGCAACAGCATAATTAAATATATACATATATACTATATATGTATATGATGATAAACTTGTATTTGTATGAAGAAAACGTATGAAGAGCTTAAATGACCATAAATATATATATTATTTATATTTTATATATACTTAATATTGTTGGGCATGTTTTGTAGCACACGGTAAATATCTAGAGGTGAAGTGTTTTTATTATTTCACGAAATTATTTTTAAAAACATTAACATGTTTTAATGAATCATTCTGTTATGCTGAAAAGTTAAATAGACGGAACATGGGTTTAGTTGAATGGGTTGGCCTGGAGAGTTTCTTTATTTTATTACTCAATACAGTTTTTTTCGGGACAATGATTATTGGAGCAATACACGACACAAATTTGATGATATGATTTGTCTTTAGGTTTTAAAGTATTTTATGAAAATCTTTGTAAAAAAGTCATTGGAAAATAGTTCTGGAACATACGATGAATGAGAAAGTAGTTTGAAAAACAACTCTAGCGATATGTTCATGATTATCATTGATATACGACACATCTTATTAAAAGAGAAAGATCTTTCTTGCTGTACCTATAACGGGAATAAGTGGAATATGTAATATACTTGAAGAAGAGAACTCTTAAGCTCATGAGCAATACAATTTTTAATATTTTACTTGCATGGCTTAATAATATATATTATTTAGACAATCTCAAACATACATCAAACATAACAGAGAAAGTAAGAGAGAATCAGATCTGGAAAATATGTTTAGGGCTGAAGCAATTCGAAGATCAATTCATGGGAGTTCATTTCTTTGCCTTTTAAGCTATTAAGGTTTTATGTCATCTGATTGAAAATGAGCTATTTTCTCTGGTTCGTATGCTATTTAATCATTTTATTTGATTGGTTCACTTTCTCTTGCAAATAATTTCATTTGTATACAATATTCTCTAGACGAACCGCAACACATCTCAATCGCACATCAATCAGCCTTAACCTTATAAGTGCTTAGCCAAATGACCAGGCACATCTACGACTCTCTTGCACACATCTTCATATTCATTTACCTTCCCCTCTTCTATTAATTAACCATCGGTCAATGGCTCACAAGAAAGAAGGCAACAAAGAATAGGGGAGGGGCCATTGAGATGTCTAATACATTAATCAGCAATTTTGTGGTTTAGTGCGCCATCCACAGTTTATATACCCGACCTGCCGTGTGAATGGCCAGAGTCAGAGCCAGCGACAGTACAGTGCCTGCTAGCAGTCCAGGTGTCTGTCTCCTGTGCAAGAGAGATCTCGCCTCTCGCTGTGGACGTGGCGCAATAACAAAACGACATTGTTCGCTGTTGTTGTGGCATCTTCCAGTTTCCTCCTGCCCTTCGCATAAGCATCCCTCCATTCGTTGCATACTTTTCGGAGTGTTTGCTGCGCATATTTCTGTTGCTTGTCGGCCGGAGGCGTTTAAAGTTTTGTGTTCTGTGTTTTGGGTTTTGATTTTTAAGTGTTTTGCGGTTAGTTTTTTGAGTGGAGAGTTTACTTTGCCTTTCGTTACGTTGCGATGCACCGCTTTACGTGGTGTTGCGTTACGTTTGCTTTGGCCTCTGCCTTTGCAGCACTGTTTGCGGTGCGTATACGTAGCTTGGTTGCACACACACACGCACGCACATGGTATGCGGTTATTTCTATTAAATTCAACTGTCGTGCGGTGGTTTAACTTCTCGCACAGTTTCAGCTGCTTTTGTAAACCACCAGAAATGCTCATATATGTTTTTCGGTTGGGATTCACGATGCAAAAACAAAAAAACTTTTTCCGGTTTCGCATAATATTTGCGTTTATCTCATGTTGCTGATGCATTTTCGGTCGAAAATTAGTTGGATTTCATTACAGCTTAAGAGAAAAAGTTTTTATTGAGCAACTAAGCGTGAATTTTAGAATATTTCCGCAATGAAAATCGGGTAATGTAAATTAAATGTAATTCGAAGGAATAGCAAATCCATAGACATATAACATTCCATAGACATTTATATTCCATTTCTCTAAGCTATTTGTAGCTGTTCCTCCTTCCGCTTGGCAGCTGCTGATTGCCATGTTCCCTGCTCCTGCTGCTTCTGCTACTGCTGCTGTTGTTCGTTGAATAATTTAAAGAAATATTGCAGAGAGTTTGCCCAGTGCGCTGCTTGAGCTCATTTTAAGTAAACATAGACTTGACATTTTCACTTTATTTATTGCACACACACATCGGGATAGACGTTCACGTCCTGCTGGCAACAACAATTGGAGCGCTCGCTCTAAGCGTTTGCTCAAGTGTGTGGGATTACATAATAGAGACCGCAAATAAATATATCGCGTACCATAGCCACATGACACACGCAGCAATAACAACAAGCAGCTATGTATGTACGAACATGTGTCTCCGGAGACAGCAAGTGCTGTTCGCTTCCTTTGGCCAGAGCACTTGCAGCTCTGCAAGAAAATCAGCAGCCAGCAGCAGTCAGCAGCAACCAGCAGCAGCAGTCAGCAGCAACCAGCAGCAAGCAGCAGCAGTAGCTAGCGGGTAAAAATAAGTGGAAAAGAAGACCACCGAGCGACTCGTACCTTGGGCCATACATTCATGATGAGTGCTCCCCCTGCCCGGGCCTCACCGCCCCAGGCTGGCTCTGCAGGAGGCGGGGTGGACGGGCTTGAAGGTGCAGAGACTTGCCTCTTGGCTGTTGTCTGTATCGAGGTCAAAGCGCATAACTTAAGTAGCCGACAATAAAATGCATAATATGGCGCTCGGGCCAAAAGGCAAAAAGCAAACCTGTGCGAAAATGTAGAAAATATGGCTCTATTTATTTGTACATTAGGCTAACAAGAAGAAGCAGCAGCAGCAGCAGCAGAAGAAGATGTTGAAATACGCGCCTGACAAGTATTTTTTCTATGTGTGTGTGTGTGTGTATGCGCTCTTATATAGCAGCGCCCCGTTTCTCCTCGGCTTCCACCTGGCTGTAGCAGCTGCTAGCAAAAGGCCAAGTGTTGTGCTTGACATGTACCGAGAACCCATTGAGCACAGCCCTGACTGTACGTTGTTGTTGCTATATTTGTGCATATATATATATAAGTGTGTGTGTGTGTGGGTGTCCTGCTGGGGCCATAATAATTTCACGCTGCGCTGCAAAGGCTGCTGAGATCGTGGCATAAACCATATTTGAGTCCTTTGGCGCATACGTCAAATAATCAAAGCAAATGAAGTTCTGACACTATACGAAATTGGATTAGGAATGCTTTTTATTAAAGTGAAGTGGAAATTTGTAAGGAATTTATAAATGAAAAAAGATTTAATCTACTTTCAAGAGTTCTATAAGTTGAATAGTCTATCAGAGTTTGATAGAGTGAAGGAATAAAAGAAAATGTGGTAAGGAGTGGAGCTCTTAGTATTTACTGAAAAATATATATTGAGTATAGTTAGATTTAAGTATATTGATTTGATTTTTTTTTTTTTTTTTTTTTTTTTTAAATACTCTACACCTAAAGAACTTTTCACATTGAGTGCGTTTGCTGCTTTCTAATGCCTTTTGGGCCCACGAATTGCGTATTTTGCGTATTTTGTGCGCGCAGAGAACTTTCGAACAATGCAAACCGCATAATTAAGCGCTGAAGTGTGCAACCGACAACGGCGTCAGCTATTTGAAAATTGTTAACAATGCGCATTACGTATACGCCATGTGGTGATTGTAGTATTTTGTTTTTTTATTCACTCTCTGCCCACACACAGATACCAGGACATGTACAACAATCCGATAAAAGCCACTAATTTGGAGCATCGCGACGTTGTACTGGACATACTCTCCGATGCCCGGGTCGTGGGCCCGCTGCTGCAGACGGGCATGTTCCATGCGGATGTGAATCGACGCAATTATATGTACGTATTCGGACACAACAGCGCAACGGGTCCCTATGCAAATGTAAGTAAGAGAGCATTTGAATTACTATATTTGTGTATATATGTATGTATGTATGTATGTGTGTAGAGGGTATTTGTGTGGGCAAATGGATTTTCGATATTGTGTGCGCCGTCAAGCTGGTATTCTAATTAAACGGCGCATTTCATTTAACTGTTGTGGTCAATTCTCAAAAAACATAAACGGCATAAGAGCTCGCTTCCCATGGCGACTCTTTGGTTAGCTGCTCTCTGCTGGGTCATTCTATCATTGACTGGCATTTTAGCTTTTCAGCAAAACAATTCACAACTTTGCAGCTGTTCGGGACGCGGCGCGTAACGATCGTAATAAAGGCAATGAACTGCCTTCCACTCCTGCAAGAACAACAAGAGAAACAACAACAACAACACGCGCAACAAAAACAACTTTAAGTTGAGGCCAAGTCGCTAAGTAGACAACGAACCACCTCAGTGTGGGCGAGGGGAATACGTTACGGCTTTTGTTTTTGGCTTTGTGGCCTGCGGGCGGCTCACTGGTTGAGTGGTTGAGTGGTTGAATGGCTGGCTGACTGGCTGGTTGCCCGTTTGCCTCGACCAACTTGTCTGGTTATTTGTGTCTCTGCCGAGAGAGTCTGTCCCGTGCGTCAGTCCGTACGCCGCTGCTCTCGGCTGCTGTTTTTATGGCTTTGCCATGCTTATGGATTTGCTAGTGATTGCCATTGGAAGATAGCCTGTGTTGCTCCAGCTATCGCTACTCTATACATTCAGTTTGTTATGATTAAATGTGTCTATCGATTTGTAATTAGGATGCGAGCACAGCCATTTGCTTGGGGATAATACCACAAATTTGATAGCCTGACTGCCGCTTGAACCACTTTGATTCGCATTAATGAAAATTGAATAAGCATTTCGAATTTGGTAGAGATTGAAGCTGATATATTGCCAAGAAAGCAATTTCAAATTGTCAAATAGCCAATAATATATAGGATTAAATGAAGAACCTAGCAGGCAGGGCATAGGAAACAAAGAATGCATTTAAATATTTAAGCTTAGGAAAAAAAAAAAAATAATAATAATACTAATATTTTTTGTTTGTTTTGCAATTGAAGAGAATTTTGATAAGTTATGATTGCTTGAAATACTTACTATATATTATTATTATTTGTAATATTATTGATGTTTATTTATGAAAATATTTATTTAAACAAGAAATATATTTTTATATATTATTTATATTTTTTTTTTATAATTTTTTTATTTTTCCTTCACATAAACTAAAGAAAAATTCAGATTTAATTCCATTTAAATTTTTAAATTTGTGTACAAATATTGATATATAATTGAATTGAATAACATCGAAATAAATCATCTAACAAGTAAAAAAGTTCTTGTAGCGAACATAAACCATTTGACAGTATACAAAATAATTGCTGATGTATTCATAAGACTTTAAATACCCGTCAGAATACATCCGACAGCAGAGCCTGACAAACAGCCGAATGAAAGAGAATGAGACAGTAACAACAACAACATCCAGCAAATCCCCAAATAAGGAGCACTAAAACAGAAATAATGAATGGGGAGAAAACATATAAAAATCTAAATAAAAGGAGCCAAAGCAACGAAAAAAAAAAAAAAATACAAATACAAATAAAACAAATAAGGGAAAAAAGCGAGAAGTTATTATTTCGCATTATATTTTTGGGAAAGTTTAGCTTTGGCTCTGGTGTTAAGCGTATTTTTACGACCCGAGCTGGCCAAGGGCGGAGGGTGCGAGAGTTGGACATAAACCATGACCAAGTCAACTAAGACCCAACTAAATGAAAATAGACGTCGATGGGGCTCTCGATGCACTCGACTGGCTCTTTCAAATGCGACAACAATTTGTGGCTGAGTGGAAAGTGCAACAACTTTTTAATAGCCGGCAATTAAGGCATCAGAATATACTCTATACGGAGAGTATAAGGAGAGAGTAAAAATATATATTACTAATAAATAATGAGCCAACGAGCTGCAGTGCTTAAACTTTGTGTAGAAACTTTTGTTTATTTTCTGTTTTCTCTCCCTCTCTCTTTCTCATTAAATTGTAGTTGTTTGCTAAAAGTGGCTTAATAATAGATGAGAGCATGTGCCATAGCTTAAGCGACATTTATATTTATGCGCTCGAGATGAGAAAAAATGCGACGACGATCAGCGTAAAGCGCCAAAGCGCATTAGTTGCAAATAAATTATGAAATGAAATGAAATTCACTTAAATAATTCATGCCAAAGCCGAAGCCAAAACGCTGCCACGACGAGCATGAGCTGGATTCTTGGTTACGAGCTGGCTGGCTGCCGTTTGCCTACAAATTATCGCAGCGACAGCCCAAGTCCTGGGGCCCATGTGCCAGACAAATAAACAAACCTAGGCCCACCCACACAGCCACGCACACACACACACACACACATAGAAGCAGACACATGTACACAGTTTGTGTTAGGCGAGCTTTAACAATGCCGCAACATTTTTCTCCGGCATTTTATTTTTATTTATTTGGCCATTTGCTTTGTTGCCTGTCAGAGGCCAGAGCCAAAAACTCAACTGAAACGCGCACATTTCTGCATAAACTGCGCTGCTGCCGCTGCACTTGTGACCAAGTACTCGGATACCCTGTAGACAGAAATGAAGAAAACCGAGTCGCTTAAAGCTAGGACAGGTTATTCGAGAGGATCTTCCATGCAAGCTTATCTTATGATAGAAAATGGATTTAAATTTGTTTTGAATGTTTTTCAACATATTTAAAACTAGATTTTTTCAATTTCTGCCCAATTGCTCAAAGGGCTGCACAGGGTATATCGAGGCCACAGTCACGCCTTTGTCCATAGTTATTTCTATACTAGGCTACTTAAGCATACCACGCCCACTCCACTCCACTTGAAACCGACAAACTGACTGACTGACTGAGTGACTGGCTCCGCTCTTCTCCGCAAAGCTCTCGCCTATCTCTGAGTTAAGCTGCGGGCATATTGTAAAACTTTTTGGCACATGTCTTGCATGTTTGCAGCTGAGAAGCTGCCGTCCAAGGACCCCAGAAGAGACACTCAGTTCTCTGTCTGAATGCGGCTCAAGGCGGTTGTTTAACTGGCTAGAATGATGTGTGTAAAAGCTCTTCTTAAACGCAGCCAAATTCAATTGCATTACATTCAGCCCATGCAATAAAATATATTTATATCTATTTTTAGCATTTAAGAGAGAATTCTATAGATACATAAATTTTTATATCCAAGTATTTTTCATATGAATAGATATTTTAGGCAGCAGCTAATAGAGTTCAATTTTGTTTCCAAAACTTTCAAATATTCTAAAATATTTCTATTAATAATAATACATATTTAATATGCTTTAGCATAATAAAGTCTGCATATTTGATACGCACCCACAGCAACATACCGAGCATTCCAACTATGTCTGCTTTGAGCCCTTTTGTCGGCCTTCCTCTGCCCGGTAAAAGTTTCGAGCTGCCTTTTTGATAAGAATGCGAAATAAATTGTGAAAGGAAGGAAACAGAATTCATAAAAATAAATATAATAAAAACGAAACTAAAATTGTTATTTGCGTCGCGCGGGCCAAAAACTTTTCTTCATTCACAATTTTTTGTCTTTTTCTTTTTTTTTTGTCTCCTTTTCGTCCTTTTATTTTTTGCTGCCGTTGACCGCATTCATAAAAGAAATACGTCTCAAGACTTGGGTAAATAATAAAAAACTTTTGCAACGTGACGCGAAATGTGTGGGAATACTTTTGGGTTCCAGTCCCGAAAAAAAAAAATGACTCCTGCGCAACTTAAGCAACTGCTCGAAAATTTCTAATTACGAAATAGAAAATTACAAATTAAAGACGCCCCCAGCTCGGCGTAGGCGTGTCAGCTGAAGCTTATAAAAGCCCATTAAGATGAGTTACAAATTACGGCCTGCCCTCCTCTGGCCACGGGGAGTCGAAGTTCATGCCACGCCTGCTGTCGTTTACATTAGGGCCAATTTGGCAAACACTTTTGCCAATTCCCGAGGTTGACGCTTAGGCAAATTGTTGCTTCCGCTGGCTTTGGGCTAAAGCGGAAGTCAAAGCGAACGAGCGAACGAGAGAGAGAGAGAGAGAGAGAGAGCGAGGTGGACAGATGCTCGATGGCGCAAAACAAACAAAAGCATAAATTACAACAAAATTAACGCATGTATTTTAAATTGAGTTTCCGGGTTTTATTTGTACGTTCATATTTAATTTTAATGACGAGATTCGTGTAGGAAGTCAGACGAAAATAATTTAATAACAGTTTATGATTTTAAATATTCATATTGAAAACATTTGTGCTGAACTCAATTAAAAGGTCACTGAAAATAGCTCTTTGCATCGCTTGTTTTATTCAATAATCATTTATGACAGTGTATTTTGACAGCCATAAGGGAAATTGTGTAAATTTGGCTTACTTTAAATTGTAAAAGTGTGCCAATAGCAGCCCAGCAATATCCTGTTTAATCCAATTGTTGTCTGTTGAACTTTCTATTATTATGCTTTAATGGCTTTCAAATAAACATGTGCTGGTTGTTTGGCAACAATTCGGGCCATAAACAAGTATTTATGGTCTATACAATTCGGCTTGTCTCAGATAAAAAGTTGACTGAACCTCACAAAAGGGCAACAGAACTTGCCTCTGTTCCATGCGGGCTGACTGTCTCTACCTTCGTTCGTCTGCTTACTTTCGATATTTGCACATTTCATGGAATAGAAAATCAAAATCAAAAATGACATTTATCATTCATAAACGCCAACAAAAGCCGGCGACAACCATGAAAATGAGCCAAAAGGAGCTTACGCAAAGGCCACAATGGACGACACCAATTTTTATGAGCGCCAAAGCGAAATGCTTTGTGACTTTGTTACATTTTTCATGGCAACAGTAAAAAGTTGGCTTTATTACCTACCTACTTACGGTTGCAGTTGATGCCCCCGTCCCCTCCTGTCCGCTTGCCCACAAACTGTCCGACAGACTGGCCAAATATTTATGCAGCCAAAGCCAAGAAGATTGATGCTGACTGGCCAAAAGCTGCTGAATAGCATTTTCCCCTGATCTGGTGTCTGATGTCTGTTACAATTTTCACCACGTTTTCAATGCATATCATAAATCTCGCTGAGGGTATATTGATTTTCTATAGCAGGCCGACAAATGTCTAAAAACAATTTGGTGGATTACAAATGAATAAAGCTAAAAATGGAAAATGTAGCTATTTTAAATTGAATAGAAAAAAGTTTAAATTCCATCACACTTAAAAAGTGTTTGAAAAGAAATAATTATAAAATCAGATGAATAAACTGGAATTATATATAATATAAAAATATATAAGTATTTTAATTTTATATTTTAATTTTGTAGGTGCTAGAGTTATATCTAATTTGAATTTTACAATTACATGTACATATATCAAATTTATTTATATTTATTATTTTCTATCCTGTATTTACAAAATATTGTTGAAAAATATTTGTTAAATAATATATTTGATTTTCGTTTAATACTTCATTAAAATATGTATTATAATATAAATTACAAATATATTATTTTTATTTTAATATACATTTTTTTTCTATATTATAAATTTATTGTAGGATTTAATATATTTATAAAATAATTATTTGATTATACATTTTTTTTAATTTTTTTTAAATATTAACTTGTATTATTTAAAATAAATTATATATATAATTTTTTATTTTATTTTAGTTTATTTATTTATTTATTTATTGAAATTTTATGTATTTAATATTTAGAGAATATTCACTCCGGAGAAAATTTAATATTTATAGAATGCTTAAATTGAATATTACCTTTATTTCCTCACACTAAATAAGAGTATTTGAAATATTTCTTATTTCTCAATGTGCCTGCTCATCTGTTTCAATTGCAGCTACCGCATAGCATAATGGGCGAGGAGCTGGCGTTCGTTTTTGGTGCGCCGCTGGCGCCGGCCGGCCCATTTCCCAGCCACAACTATTCCGTGCAGGAAAAGCTGCTTTCCGAGGCGGTAATGGCATATTGGACGAACTTCGTGAAGACCGGGTGAGTAGTGTCTGAGCCAAGGGCGAATTGAAGAGTGCATTTGCTGAGAGTTAGCGATTGGAAACGCAGCGGGGGGTGGCAGCCGCAGAAAGAGAAGAGTGGAACGGCCAGTGGGGCAGCAGAGAGGGAGGCTGTGGGTGTCGGGCTGCACGACTAGTCGCAGCTCTGCATGCAAATGCGACAGAGACTGCGGATGCGATTGCGAATGCCATTGCGAATGCGATATGCAGGGAGCTGGGCTGCGGCACGTTTTGCAATCTGCAACGCTCGGACAGCGAAATGAATAGAATTTTTACTGCCGTTTTTATGATTATTTCGATGCAAAAACAACTCCAAAAACGGGCCATAAGCAGGACATGCAAATATTATTAGTGGCAATGCGATGCGCCCCTCCAGCCAAATGGCAATCAAAGCCAAAATCAGAGATCGTTAGCAGACATTTCGGATTATATTTTTGCCTTACTCGTTTCTCCACTCCACTCTTTGGATATTCAGTTTTTAGCTAATATCTGGGAGGTCATTAGCAGCAAAAGAAAGCAGGAAATATTAGAGCAAATGCGGCTTAGGGCGAGACCAACATGAATATTTGAGAGTAAAGGGCAAATGGGAATAAGATGAGATACTCTGCTAAATTTATATACTCTCTATAGTATAATAATATATTTTGTATTTATTTTACATTTATATATTTATGATCATCAATCTCCGTTCTTAGCAACCCGAAAGCACCTTGGAAGGGCACATTTCTGAACTCCCATGTGTTGGAGTGGGATCGCTATGACCTGGATTGGCCAGAGTTCAACAAGCGTGCCCAGGCCTATCTAAATATTGGTGAGTAGAGCTCGCTCAATTTGCATGCCCTCTCCAAGTACTCTGACATCTAATCACATTCACATTCGCGCTTTTGATTTGCGTAGGCATTCCGCCGACAGTGGGCTACAAGTACCGTCAGATCTATATGAACTTCTGGAACAAAGAGCTGCCGGACGAGTTGAATCAAATTGCCGCCATACAGCAGCAGCAGCTGGCCGGAAACGAGGTGATTACGGGCCACATGAGTAAGTACGGGCCGCGTGACAATGGCGCCGAGGATCCGGTGCGTACGCTCAAATTGCTGCTCCAGGAGCCGGTGGCGACGGGCAGCGAGCAGCTCGAAACAGCTGCGGAAAACATGTACAATGCCCCGCCCACATTCGGCCACGTGCACAGGCTGCAACAGCTGCACCAGCAGCACCAGCAGCAGCAGGGCAGCGAGGGCGTGGCTACCACTTCCGTGGAGGAGGCGACACCCAACAGCGATTACGGGGAGTACGGGGCATCGGCCTCCCCGGCGACTCCCGGCGAGCCCATTGCCAAATCGGAGACCACGCTGCAGCTGCTCATCGCGCTCATTGCCATCTTCCTGGTGCTGAATGTGGTCATATACACCACGTTCCTGGTGCGGCAGCGCCGCAAGCGCAGCACCACGATGCAGCGCAAGCTGGGCGGCAACATCCTCAGCTACGACGGCGCCAACGATGACGAGCTGAAGCGCTGCAGCAAGTCGCGCGACGGCGACGAGAGCTACATCCTGGACATTGTGCGCAAGTCGAACACATACGAGGCCATCAAGACTGGCCAGCGCTCGCCCATCAACGGCTATGCCATGCAGCGGCAGCTGAGCAGCTCCACGGTGGACACGCACACCAAGGTCTGCGAGTGGATGTCCGCCACGCAGCACCAGCAGTCGCTGGCCAGCAAGGCGGGCAGCTTCAACACGACGCCAGCGCCGGCGGCGGCGGTGCAGTGCGACGGGCGCATCATCATTTGCCAGGACATCGAGGTGGCCGACGCAGCGCTGCTGACGCCGCAGCACATGCACGAGGGGCAGGAGGGCGTGCACTATGAGCTGCTGCTGCAGCGCCAGCACTCGGCCCTGACCGAGCCCTGCGAGGCCGCGCTGCAGCCACAGCATTGCCACTCGCACTCGGATCCCGTGGACATGATCCTGGCCGCCGACGAGCAGGTCACCAGCTTTGTGCACGCCGACGATGTGGACATCAATGTGACCAGCCGCGACGAGGCGGCGCTGGTGCTGCAGCCCCTCAGCGCCGCACAGCAGCTGGAGCTGCTGCGCCAACGCAACTACCCCAAGGTGCTGCCCACGGCGCAGGATTTGCGCGCGAGCCACAGCTACAAGCGCAACTCGCTGCCGCCGCAGAACCACGCCACGGCGCCGCTGCCGCCGCCGCGCACCATCAGCAGCACACTGGGCCGGCGGCGGCGCGACAGCAGCAACATAACCACATCCCCGCTTATGCTGGCCCAGGACTGCGGCGAGGAGGAGCCGCGCGAGCCGCCCATCACGCAGAACACGCTGATTGTGGGCCCCATTGTGCCGAAATCGCCGGCGGCCTCGCTTAAGCGGATTAAGCCGCCGACTCCTGGCGGGCCAGACGCGCCGATGAGCACGTTGAGCGGCTCATTCCAGTCGTTCGAGTCGGTGCCCCCGGCGCACGAGGCAACGCCGCCCCAGGGACAGCGCACCGAGTGCGTCTATGCCATAGCGGCGAGTGCCAGCGTCGGCTCCATGCCGGGCAGCAGCTGGTCAGCGCCCAACGGCGATGTCTATGCGCAGCCCATGAAGTCAGCCTCGAGGACGTCGCTAATACCGCGCCCGCTGCAGACGGCAGCAGCGACGCCAGCAGCGGCGACAGCAGAGACGCCAGCTGTCACACAGCAGGTGTCAACGGCAGCTGCCACTGCGTGCGAACAAAGCTCGGCGCCTCCGGCCCCGGCCCCAGCCACGCCTAGTCGCATACCGCAACTGCAGCGGCAGGCATCCAGCAAGGAGCTGTCGCCGGCTGACAGCCAGCCGACAGCGGATGCCACAACAGCATCAAATTCACGCATAGACTCCACCATCTCGAGTGGCTCATCGGCCTCGACCGCCTCCTGGTGCAACTCGACGACATCCTCGTCCTCCTCGTCAACCGGCACGGTGCGCACGGAACTGCAGCCGAGCCGCAGCATCGCCACCCATATATAGAGCTGCAGTTGACGCCCTGTTGTGGTCCGCTAAGCAGCTCTTGCCAAATACGTTGACGGCGCAGCTTGTGGCGACTGCGACTGCGAGTGCTCGGCATTTGCTGGTGTTTGCGCGAAATTTAATAATACATTCTGGCCAAAAGTTTATCTTTGACTTGAGGGTCGGAGGAGCCGTGCAGCTGCTCGAGCATGGCAGGACCTGCGGCAGCTCGTGGTCGCCTTTGTTGGCCAAAGTTTTGCTAACTGCAAGTTGTGTCAAGGCTTTGATTCAAATTAGAGAGAACGAATATCGAAATAACTAATGGAAATTCAATTCGAGTCAAGACGAGTTTGGCCAACAAATTGTGGTCAAAGCAAGAGAAAAAAAAAAAAATGGAAAAAAAAAAAAATGGAAAAACTGCAGCTCTTTACGAACATAAAAAAAGTCGTAATTAGTTAATTGAAATAGAAATGAAAGAAAAGTCAAGTAGAACTGCTTATTAGTTAAGCGAGACGAACTATAAGAATAGAAGTTTAAGCGAATCAAAAATCACTTGATAAGAATATTAATTGCCGCTGATTAAACAAACTTAAAGTAGTTGCAGATATTTCAATTAAGCTTTAGAAATTATTGCTTCCATTTATTTATCGGAAACCAGAGAGACAAAGGAATCAAAACAAATAAGCACTACATTACTTTTATATACATATATAAAAAATATCCCCAAAAAGTATTATGAGAGGAAAAATGTGGGAGCTACTGATTACTTCATATAGCATATATTTAGGTACATAAGTATATTGTACGAACTAATTAAACAACAAGTAACGTAAATTGGGGCACAATTTAAGGACTTTATGGTAGAAGTAGAAGTTGAGTTTATTTTTGTAGGCTAATTGCAAATGGAAAAGGAAGAAAGTTTGTCCTCTGTGCGCTACCTGTGTAATGAGCACGAACAATGCGAAATTTGATTGGCCCAAACGATTGGCAAACAGGAGCCCTTTCATAAGTAGTTGCTGCCAGCAGGAGTAGCAGCAGCAGCAGGAGCCACGGCAAAACTGTTGGCTATGTGAACATTTGAATAGTTGCAAATATTTCAAATATTTTGAGATACTTAGCCGCTGGGAGTTCCGTCAAACTTGTCACCGCAAAATAGTTGCCAAACAGTTGCCTAAACTCCATCCTGGCTGCAGGAAGTTCAGCGCTCTTATCCTGGGCTTTACTTTTGTTCTCGCTGCGAATTGAGTTATTGTGTCGACTTTGTCGCTTTTCGTTTGGCATTTTATGCAAATTGCTGTCAGGCAACAACTTTGCCCAAAAATGTTAAGAAATTCCCTCTCTCTCGCTCTCTCTCTCTCTCTCTGTGTTTTTCTTCATCTCGATGAAAAGTTAAAGTCCCTGCCATAAACAGGGCGTAGAACCAAAGTTGTAATTAAATATTGCGCCCAATTGGATTGTTTGGCTGGCGCCCAGGTACAAAAGCCATTCTCATATTTTCGCTTTTGCATAAATAGTATGTTTATATTTGTCTTGCGCTAATTTCGTTAAGTACTTTTGTACTTCATTAGCAACCAATTAGTTCAAATAGACTCTATATGTATATATGTATATATAGGCAAAACTAACAAAAATTTCTCTATATATATCTACAAAGTTTCTTCCGCATTGACACTTATTTGCACTTCAAAGAGCGACAAAGCAACGGCAAAACATCCTGCGGCAGCTCATATGACTGACTCGGCTCCTGCTCTCTATCGGCTCTGTGTGTTAATTTGGCGCAATTGCCGAATTTCTTCTACACTATTCTCTACACTCAATTTGCATCACACTTCATTCATTTGCTTTTTTTTCTCATTCTTTTGTTTTACTTCTCCTTTTGCCGCTCTAACTTTTCCCACATGTGGGCTCTCTGACAGTTTGTATATTTGTGCATTTCAGAGTCTTCTGTATGATGAACTGAATAAAGTTTGGGGCATTTAGTTAATTAAACCGAGCTAGGTCCATAAACCTCTTAAAAACTTTTGCAGCTCAATCCAACACTGTTCAAGGCAGATGAAATAGAAAGTCTCCTCCCCGGCTCTGTATCAAATTCCAGCAGCATAGGACGCTATGTCGACTACAGCAATTTGCTAGGATGATTTATGTTTTTTATTCAAATAATTTGAAACTTTACATCTGTTTATTACTCTATTCTAATAGAGCTACATATTATTATATTTTTTAATCCTATGAATATACTATGAGGCAGCGAATTAAATTACTTCAATTTCAAATATTATTCCCTAAAATTCCTCTCCACTGTTCTATTTTGATATATATTCATTTGCATATTCAACATCTATCCCAAAAATGTAAGGTTTTTTTACTCAGTTTCAATTATCAAATATCTTTATTATTTTTAAATTTTAATTGAATTCTAAATGAAACCTAAAATGTTCTATCTAAGCTCTAAGCTTTTTCACATTGTTTGAAACTTTTTAGCTGATGCTAAAATCACAGAAACTACTTCAACATTTGACCATCGACCAGAAAGTAACTAAAAGTTAACAGCCAAAAAATGAAGAAAAATAAATAACACACCAAAAAAAGGGGAAAATTATTTGCCAAAATTGCTGACAACCGCAAATTAGAGTTGGGTCGAGAGTTGATTTAAAAGACTCTCTAGAATTATTTACAGATTGCGTGAAGGAGTAAAATAACTTTGAAATACATAAACAAATAGCATCCAGAGCAGAACTGAGCCAAGAGTCATACGTAGTCAGAAATGAAACTTCCTCCAAGCATAAATTCAGTTGAATAACAATATATTTGCCAAGGCTTTTGATTTATGGCAGACAATTTTTAATTTTTCTTTTTTTTATGCGGCTTGTACACGGAACATAAATAAATAATAAGCAAATATTTATAGCAGTTTAATATTTAATTGCGTTAAATCAAAACTGTCAACGAAGGAAAAAAAAAACAACAAAATTAACTTAAGTAAAAATTATGTGAAATAAATTTGCATTAATTAAACGAGACAGGGAAGGTAAATAATGATAATTGCGTATGCATACAATGATAAAGCGGCATAAATGCATCCGGACTAATTAATGCACTTTATAATTAGTATTATAAGATTAATATAACATATCTATATGAATGTATGCCAACACAGGGTCAACAGCAATTCAATTCAATAGCATTCAACAATAAACTGGTCAAACATTCCACATGACAGACGCCAAATCCTTACTCAAAAAAAAAAAAATAAATAAATAAATAAATAAAAAAAAAAAAAAAAATAAAAAAAAAATTGCAACAAAATAAAATAAAAAGCACTCGCAAACAACAGCAACAACAAAAAGTAAGACTTGCATGCAAAAAAAAAAAAAAAAAAAAAAATTAAACAAAAGCAAATATGCAAATTATATAGTTTTTCTGCACAATAATTGCTTTTGGTTTATTCATTTATTTGCTTTTTTATCCTTCACTTATGATGTGCTGCAACATTGTTTGACTTTTTAATGGAAATTTTCATAATTCAATAGGACAAATCAACAAAGGACATCACTTTAAATAAACATGTGTAAATTATTTAAAAGCCAAACAATTATTTTTAGTGGTATTTATTAACGCAAACGTAAAATAAAAATTAAAAAAAATGGAGTAAAGTAATTTAAGTTTGATTAAAAAATAAATACAAAATACACATTCTACATTTAACAAAGACATATTTTTTTATCTCGTTTTCCAATTTCAGCTGATTATTGTCGCAATTTGTTCAACAATGCGGGTGGTAATGAATTACTGTAGCATATTGGAGTTGAATAAGTTAATTTCAATTAAAGCCCAAAGTGAGCAATTTAAAATAAAATACAAATATGGACGTGCTAAAAATTGTTTAAATGTTATATAAAAATAAAATAGTTAAATTAATTTCTTTTTTGTTTTTATTTATATTTTATATTTTTTTCCATTTTCAGTTTAAAAATAAATCATATTTTATTAATTTGTTTATTTTTATTTTTTTGTTTTTTATTTATTTATTTATTAAAAAAATAAATAGATTTTTCTAATTTTAGTTTAATTATACAATATATTTTATTAAGTTGTTTATTTTGTTTTGTTTATTTTTTATTCAGTCTCTGGCTTCAAAATTGCTTCATTCATAGTTGTACGTTCGTGCGAACGGACAGAAAACCAATATACTCATCTCACTTGGGCGAACGAGTATAAAAAGTATTGATTAACATAAAGTTGAACTGAGTATTGACATAATACATATATTGTGTCCAGTTAAACCATGTTTTCACCCCACAGTACAGCAAATTAATGTATAGCTTTGAGATATAATCAAACTGTTGTTTCACATATATTTGCATTTTGCGGTTGATTTTATGTTGTTTGCGTCCGCATAATTATACCAAAAGAAACACATTGAATTGAATTGTGCTAAAATAATAAATTAAATATTTAATTAAATATAATTAGCGCGCCACGCTGTTCACGCTGTTCACTCTGTTTGCCCAGTGCCGAATGATTTTCCAGCTCATTTTAGTTTTCACCCATCTGCATAATCGTTTATTTGTTTGCGGTTGTTTGTCGCGGCTGCAATTCAATGGGCTGCAAAATTACAGTATCCATTGTAGGTATTATTATGGCTGTGCATACGAAACGTTTTTCAAAATGCCAATAGATTAGTAATTAAAGCTCAGGTGCGGAATTGGTGAGTTTTATTGATTGCGAATTTCACAAGCAACTCCATATGTGCTTGACCCTAAGCAATAATTACAATAGACAAATAACAGATATCATATAATCATCTTAAAGTTGGCTCCAGGCACAGCATAATTTCTTTATAAATATGAGTATGTTTATATCAAATTTTTCATCCTTGTTTTATGACTTTTGTTACTTGCGGATTTCTCTCATTCCATGCACTTATTTATTTATTTATTTCGCTGCTGCATGAAAACTAAAGGAACAAGAAAATAAAAAATTCGCCGAGTAGCGCAGGAAACTTTATAAAACGTGACTTGGAAGTAGAGAAGTGGGCTAACAGGCGCCTGCCGCCCGCAACATGGCTTCGTGGGATGCGGCATGTGGCAACGTGGCTTCGTCTGCCGCCTGACTGCCTCCGACATGACTGCACGCGTCTAACTGCCTTCGAGTAGCAATTAACGCCATGATATTGCGGTTCGGTGGCACGTGGTAAGCACCCCATGTGCGTGAGTGTGCGTGTGCGTGTGTGTGTGCAACAAAGCGCTGCGTTAATATGCTAAATGAGACGCATTGACAGTTACACTAGCGAGCATTTTATATCAAGCCATTTTTGTAGCATACTTTACAGCGCTTCGCAGTTTTACGTTCCATTTACTTATTGCGTGCGTAAACTTGGGCCAGACGATGGCACAACTGTCGCCAACATCGCGCCCCACTTCCAGCCAAGTTTGTTGCAATTTGCAATTTGGGTCGTTGCAGTCCTCCTCCCCTCCTCTCACCATGCAACACTGTCCTTGCCAATGTCGGCGCTGCGACCCTTTCGCATTGTCAGTCGCTAATTTGGTGCGCCGCGCCTTGGCTGCTCCACGTTCGGTTCCCCTTTCGTTCTTTTCCATATAATTGCTTGGCAGCAATTGTTTTAAATGCCCGATGAGCGTACACAAATTGCTCGACTATCACCACAGAGGATGTTGAGCTGTTGGATGGAGACTTTTAACCCAGTTGAGTGCCGTTACACCATGCAACCAATTCGCGTTTGCAAATAAGAGAACGACAAACGTAAAGAACTTTCAATTTTAAAATATGTAATATAAAATAAATTAAATATAGAGTAATTCAATTATAGATAGATATAACAAAAAATTGCAATAGCAGTAACCTATTCGGTTTGCACAATTGTAAAACAAAAACAAAAAACAAAAATAATAATAATAATAATAATAATAATGTACATATTAAATACCTATAAGATACGTAAACTTAAACTTTAAAAAATAAGAAATAGATTGCCCATATTGTAAGATTTTTTATTTCTTTTATATAACTTTATACAGTACATATGATATTGGATTTCAAATTTCTTTACATTTATTTATATCAAATATATTTCTTCTTAATTTATTTATTTTCTATAAATAAAATAATAAAAACAAAAACTGAAAATTAAGACTTATTACAATACTTCATTTTATAATATTTTATATTTCTTTTTATAATACATAAAATTTCTTAACATTGATTTCTACTATATATAAGAAATATATATATAGATATATTTTTTTATTTTTATTTTTAAAATAGTAAATTTTTTATTTGTATTTAATCATAGTCCTGAATCTAAGGGGATATATTATTTATTTATTTGTATTTCACTCATTTTCAAAATGTATAGCAGTTAGTATTGATTATGAGCTCCCCACAAGAACTGCAGACATAATCCTACTGGATCTATTGCTGGAACACCATCATTCCCTGTGATAATATTTATATTATTGAGATTGCTTTAGCAAATATATAAAATGACACTATAATAGGATTGACTTCCGCTTGCTTTCATTCAGTTTTAAATACAATAGCAGAAATATATATTAAATTATATGGTAAAATGTATGCAAAATATACATGTATAAATCAATTTAAAATAATTATTAAAATAATAATTACGTATGTATACATATAATTTTAGTGTCCAAATTTACAGATTAGAAATAAATGTGCTTATGCTTGACTTAAATTTAATTATTTATATAATAACTACAATTGATTATGTAGTTAATTAAGTGCTTAACAAGCAGGCACTTATGTATATATACTTAGGTAATTACCTAATATAATGATATGTAAATATTCAAAATTTTGGTTATTTAATATACACATACATATATGAAATTAATTAAATAATCATCAAAATTTCAGTGCTGCAGGCAATTTACTGTCAACTAAAATTCTCTATTTTACAGTTATTGACCAAAGTGACATGCGATGGACACATTGATATTTATTTTTGTTGTGTAGTGTTAACGTCCATGGTTTGGTGTAGCAATAAGAAATTGCAAATGTTTTTATTATAAACAATGACTATGTGCGTATGTCTGTGCGTGTGTGTGTGCTCATGCATGTGTGCTGGTTTGAACTTTTCGCCGTTTCAAGTCGAAATCGATGCGCATCAATATTCAATATGTAGCTTTTACTGGCATCAGAAGCTGCTCTAGCTGTTGGCTGTTTTCCATCCATGCACCGCAGGATACCCCGCCTAGCCACGAAAACAGCAGCAGCAGCAGCAGCAGCAGTAGCAATAACAAGGGCAGGAGCAGGAGCAGGAGCAGGAGCACAATCTCAATGCGAATCCTCGACGATTCCATACGCCAAACGCCAGCTGATGTTTGCTTTACGTAATGGAATTGTGCGGTGAATGGCGCGCGGTGGCGCATTTTCTCCTTGGCCTGGCTCACAACGGGTTCCACTGACTTTTCGCTGTGCATGTGGGCGTGTGCGTGTGTGTGTTTTCTTTGGCTTGGCGGTTCACAGGCTTTCAATTGGCTTGCGGCAGGCGGATGGCGGATGGCGTATGGCGTTTGGCGGCAGGCAGCGATGCGAGGTATGCGTCAATGTTTCAACGTTTGCCAAGCACATTTTCGATGCCGCTACATTCAATTTATTTTGGACAGAAATTAAATAAAAATACGCATACATTAAACTGCGACACAGCGGCACATTGACATAAGCTGATTAGTTTGCCATGTTCAACATAGTTGGCCATCAATGCAATGCAATCGGCAGCTGTTCAGCGGCCTCGACTCGACTGCGGATGGAACTTGAAGGAGCAGTAGTGGCTCGTTCATACGGGGGCTTTCAGGCGCACCAGTGTTGTGTAACAGAGCAAACACGTGCTCGTATTAGCAAGCAACTAAGTGTTGTTATTCCACAGTTTTACACCACAATTACCAGCTCCCCAGCCCCGCAGTGACACCTCCCCCACCTACACTTCCATTGACTACGTGCCGCACAGCAACTACGTGTCGAATTCCCAAATATCCCCGCGCTTCACATAAATGGAAGACAATCTGTCCGTGTGTGTGTGTGTGTGTGTGTGTGTGCGTGGGTGTGCGTATATTTTGCTAAGTGCGAGTGTGTGTGAGTGTGTGTGTCATATGCATGTTTGGGCATCCTTCTATAGCTACTCGCATAGCTCAAAGCCTCGGCCCATTTAAAGTGTGTGAGTGTGTGGCTTTTCCCCAAAAACTTTCGCTTC